TCACTTTGGAAAACCATGTTAATGTTATTGACTTTGATATATTATACGAGCTCGCTCCCATGTAGACATCAGGGGGAGTTAACTTGAGGGGGAGTACCTTGTAGATACTCGATTTCCAGAAGATACTCGAGTGTCCTGTTGTACTCTTTTTCCTTTGTGCGAGGTTTTTTTTTTCCACAGGGTTTTCGCTACTCGACAAGGTTTTAATGAAGCAATATATGTTGATTGAAAAGATTGTGCGTAGTACTAACCGAGGTTGTTTTTTTCCCATAAAAAGGTTTTATTACTTGGAAGATTTTAACGAGGCAACACAAAAATCACAATTGTAGTTTGAATTGTGGTTTGATAGAAACCCAAGGGTGAGTGTTGTAAATAAATAGTTTGGAATGTGTGGTTCCTAACATAACCACTTGATGGCTTTCAACTCCCATTAGTTTAGGGGCTCTTTGAGGAAACCCCCTCATTATTTTTTTTAAATGGAGAGAGGTCCAAAATATTGCAGTCCATTTGAGAAAAGCTCACACCCATTTTGAGCCATTATGTTTTCCAGCTTTGCCCCCGCCCGCCACATCATCACAGCTGGGTCACGCGCTCAGAGAATTTTTTTTTTTCCCGTTTTTTCCCCTTCTTTTCTGTATCAATTTCCTTAATCGATTATGAAACATAGTCGATTAGCCTTAATCGACTATGTTTCATAGTCGATTAAGGAAAATCTTTATTTTTTTAATTTTTTTTTTTGTTTTAAATTTTTTTTTTCTATATCATGTATATTAATCGACTATGATGAAGCATAGTCGATTAAAAATCTGCTACTAAACATAACAAATCACAATTGCGAAAAAATGCAAAATCAACTATATTTTACAGAAAACAAAAAATATACAAGCATTATAATTGATTTATACAATTGGAATCAATAAATAAAAAAAATTGGAGTTGATTAACTTTAATCAACTACCAGATCATAGTCGATTAACTTAATCGAGTATTGAAAACATACATAGTCGATTAAGGTTTCAGCCTGCACGAATTTCTTTACTTGCGCCGTCATCCGCCCGATCCACCAAAAAACTCTAAATCTACCTCCCCTTCGACACCACACCGTCGCCACACCACACTTTGTCAACCATAGTGGGAGTTCGAACTCCCAGTCTCCCAGTTTCAAGAAATAGAATCCTCCATTAACGACTTTACTGAAAAACTCCATTAAAATATAACAAGAAGAAAAAAAAAGAGAAAAAAAAAACACAAAGAAGAAAGAAGATGAAGAATCTGAAAATTCATACTTTGTTCCCAACAAACTGTAAACTTGTCCAAATCAACAGAAAATTCTGACAGATCTACTCACACTCGTGATATATTTGCATAAATTAATCCCAAAACAAATTGGGTGTTGTTTTTTTCTTTCTTAATTTCTTACGCGATTTATTGTAAGGAAAAAAAAGATATTAATATGTGTATGGCTTCAATCCCGTTGATGATATGAGTGACGATCTTTTCCATTTGTACAGTGAAGAAGAGGAAAATGAAGAGAGAAAGAGGGTACAAGAAGAAGAAGATGATGAGGAAAAATGAGAGAGAAAATGTGTCTGTACGTGAAAAGAAGAAGAAGAGGGGGAAAATGAGGAGAGAGAAAGAGGAAGAAGATAAGAAAAAAGAGGAGAGAGAAAGGAAAAGTACGTAAAGTAAAGAAGAGGTGGAAAAATGAGGTGAGAGAGTGTATTGAACAATTATTCAATTAAGGATAATTTTGGAATTATGAAATATCATTTGGGTGGAAAATTAGATAAGGGGGTTTTATCTAGTTATTTTTTGGAAGGGGTGTTTCCTTAACTATATTTCCTAGATGAGGGGTTCTTGCTAATTATACCATTAGTTTATTAACTTCTGATATCTATTTTATGGTGTTAGTGGCGATGTAACTCCTACATAACTTCCACCTGTAACTCCTTGGTAACATCCCGGTGGTTACACCTATATAAATGAAAAACACTCACTCCACACGGATGCCTACAACTATGTCTCTACGTTTGTCTTTCTTGTTGTTCATTTATGTTCTCTCCTTCTCCACTCTATATTATTGGTATTTACGTTCTTATTATATTCCATAATCACAAACCAAAGAGCTAGATTAAATAGGTTATTTTACACGTACTTGAAGTTTTATTTGCTCTCAATCTTTAAAAATAAGAAATACTCCAAAATTTTCTCACACTCATATTATATAGGGGCAATATGTCAAACACCCTTCATTGGGATTTTAATTCTTGATAAATCCATTACTTATAAATGATATTTGAGATAAATCCAATGGGCTTTAAAAACCATATATGCCCCCACTAATTATTAATTAGTATAACTATTTAATTTAAAAAAAATTACACCCATAATCTACACCTAAATCTTCTCCTAAAATTATTCCCCTCATCACGTTAATTCAGTTTTTTTTCCTTTTCTTTTTTATTTTGTTTAATGGTTTTCTTTATTTCCATTTAAAATAAATTTTATAATTATATTATTATTATTAAAAAAAATTCGGTTGTTTATTTTAAATTATATTTTTCTTATTTATATATTTTCATGTTTTTTATTTTAATTTAAAAAAAATGATTTATTTTTATTTTCATTTTTTCATGGTTTTTCTTTTTTCTTAATTTCAATTTTTTTTGAAAATGGTTTATTTATTTATTTTTTATTTCCAGTTTTTTTTAAATAAAAACCACTCTATATAAACATAAAAACCACTCTGTATAAACATGAAAACCACTATGTGTAACAATTATATAACATGAAAACCACTATGTATATAATTATATAACATGAAAACCACTATGTATAACAATTATGTAAACTTGAAAACCACTCTGTATAACAACTATGTCAACATAAAAACCACTATGTATATACAGTTATATAAAAATTTGTACAAAAATTATTGAAAACCACTATAATTATATATACATATTTTTATAGTGGTTTATGTAAAAATATTGAAAACCACTATAAAAATCCGCGAGGGTGTGGATGTGGTCGTTTGGTGGGGCAACGAGAGTGTGGGTGTGGATGTGGGAGTGGGTTGTGGAGAAAAGAGGGAGACGCTACGGGTTAAGAGTCGATTCAGCCAAACTACGGCTCTTTCGACTGTCAACACTACCCCTCTCTCTTCATTGGCTGCTCTTTTCTTCTCCCATGGGAAGTTCACATTCTCGTCTCCGAACAGGGATTTTCCGAAAACCCGCCTCGTGTATTCGGGAATATTCATTCCTCAACATGGAATATGTCCTCAATCGACCCCTTTTCGATCACTCCCTTTGTACCCTCACTCTCGTCATCGATGTCGTCTTTATAGTCGAACTTCTTCAAATTTTCGACGATTCTTTCCATCGTTGTGCCGCCGGTGCTCGTACTCGTGCCCTCTTCGGAATCAGAACTCGAAACATCGCCCCTGTTAAGAGTCGATTCAGCCAAACTACGGCTCTTTCGACTGTTATGTTTAACGAGAAACGATATAAAGTTATGTTTAACGAGAAACGATATAAAGTCACTTAATTAACAGAAGCCAATTGGCATGCGTGAATGATGATTAAATTAAAGAAATTACCTGTGGAGCCATCAGCATCCAACAATGAGTTCCATGTCGATGACCTTTTTCTTGCCGAACCAAATCCCATGGTTCGATTTCGACTACATTACAGAATCTTCATCGTTGATTTCAATACAAAAATACAATCAGCTAACAAAAATTACAATAGAACCATTACAGATGAATATAAATCAAACATTATTTGGATTTTGTCGCTGGCGGTGGTGCGGTCGCTCCAGATTGGAAGAGGCATAAGAGAGGCATGTGATGACCCGTTGAAATCACAAACACAACCTTAACAAAATCACAAAATCACAAAATCACAAAAAAAAAAAACGCAAAATACAAAAAGATTAAAAGTTCTAGATATTTATTTAATTAATATACTTGTGGAATTGCGAGACTCAGCAATTGTAATCCCAAAAACAACATCAGATTTCAACAATTCAAAACTATAATCCAGGCCCCACTGAAAAACAGGGAAGAGAAACTATAGCCCGATTACCAACTTTCTGTACCGGGTCTGATCCTTGAACCCATGAAGCGGGTCGTCGGGGAAGAAGATGTTCGATAGGCGGCGCCGGAGTTTCTCCACGGTGGTCCTCGTCGGCGGAAGACATACTCTGTGGACTTCCACAGCGGCGGGCGCCGCTCCTCCACATGCATATCCTCCACTTTCCGCCGCCGGATCTGGAATATTTATAACCATTAACTTTTTTTTTTTTTGGTTTTTTCTTCACACAGTGAGTGAAATTTGTGTGAATGGTTTTCCCGAGTCAGTGTTGAAGAGTTGGATTTGGGTTGAATTTCTTTGGGACTTGTTTTTCGGTGCTAATTAATAAATAATTTATGCCAAACATCCTTCATTATTTAAGTTAGGGTTTCATTATTTAAGTTAGGGGTAAAATAGTGATAATTTATTATTTTTTATTATTTAATGTTGAAATGGATTTATCTCAAAAAGTTCTAAAAAAATTGGACCTACTGTAATTAGACATGTGTAATGGAGGGCTTTTGACAAATAATCCCTATTATATATATATATATATATATATATATATATATATATATATATATATATATATATATATATATTATTGTATGTCAGAATCTGTAATAAGTAGTATGTATTTTCTCTTTTTCTCTTTCTTTGGGGTAATGGAAACGGATTATAACATGTTCAATGTTATCAGCCTCTCAGCCCATTAGTGACAGAAAGAAAAATTATATTAAGTTTGTAATTAATCTTCTAAATCTGTAAATATTCTTTTCACTTTTCTTAATTTTTCTTTTCACCAATTCACAAAAAAATAATCTTTACTCTCTACGAAGTCCACACAAAATACAGACCACAGTACGTACAATTTGACTACAACACAAAGATCAGACAACATCGCAAACACACAAAACAATGTCACACAGATTGAATAATCATAAAAATAACAACAATTAATGTCATGAAATTTGGAACCAATAATAGCAACAAGAATAATTTCAATAACACTTCATGATAATAATTTTTTATTATCATTACGATAATAATAATAATAATAAAAATTAATTGTACGACGAAATTTGGCACAAATTATAGCAACAAGTTTTAGTTTGAACTAGTAAAATATGCAAGTACGAAAAAAAGGCGGCCGATAATTTCAAGAAAAAAACACTTAAAATCCAACAAAGACAACTAAACAAAGCCCCCAAAAAATGATTTAAAATATCTCACTCGGATTTCATTGATTTAGCAACGTCGATTACGAAGCGGTACTTGACATCGGATTTCAAGAGACGTTCCATTGCGGTGTTGACATAGTCAATGGGGATCACCTCCACCTCAGGCAGAATGTTATTCTTTGCTGCAAAATCAATCATCTCTTGTGTCTCCTTCAATCCTCCGATTCCGCTCCCCGCTATCGTTTTCCTCCCTGTTATTCACGACACGTTTCATTGTTATGTTTTTATATTTTTATATACTCTCTTTTTCCAACTTAATAACATGGAAATAAACACACGACAACTCAATTCCAAAACGAGGCCATATTTTCTTTTCTCAGCCGTTATTACAAAAACAAATATCGTTTTTAAGCTCACTTTCCAAAATCGTGTCGGAAGGTGATGGGAGAGAAATATAATTTGGAGGTTAATTTTGAAAAATAAATAAGTAATACAATTATTTGTCTTTTAAAGAAAACATTTAAGTTTTTGAGCAATTGGAAAAGTTTAAACAAATATAATTTCATTTTGGGGAAAAGTGAGAATAATTTTAAATGAGGGCCGAAAATTCCCATGGAAAGAGTTTATGATGATAAAAAACTAATCTTGACAATTAAAATTTTGATGCAAAAAAACCCGGGAAAAAAAAGAAAGAAAACAGACGGGCAAAATACTTACCGGCAATCATGGAAAAAGCAGGAAGCTCGAGTAGCTTTTCAGGAGCACCGACGACAATAAGCTTCCCGTGAGGCTTTAACAAAGCTAGCAGTGGCGGAAGAGGATGAGTTGCCGACACTGTGTCAATTATACCATCCAACGTGCCTATTGCCGCCTACCAATTTATTAGAGAAAAAAAACACAAATTATTTAAATTTCATCATATTTTTACCCAAGTTACAAGAATTTATTTAGGGTCTACTGCATTCAGCACCCTTATATGTAATCTAATTGTTTAAAGTCTCCCCATGATATAAATATTAGCAAAAACCTCCATATGATGCAATTTGTTTTAGCAAAACTAATCAGTAAAAAAATGCATCATATGGAGGGATTTACGCGAATATTTATAATATAGAGAGCTTTTTGGCAATTCAATATAACATAAGTAGGGTGGAAACAAGACAAATCGGATTGGAGTCGGAAATTCAAATTTTATTTGGAAGTGAAAAACCAATCCAATTCCATTCCAAAAAAAGAAATTAGGAAGAAGCAAAAACTGGAACTTCGGAAATTGGAATGAAAATATTGTTCCGAAATCAGAAATTTTCGTATCCGAATCAGCGGAACTCGGAAAATTCCAATTTTTAGTAACCTAAAATGTAAAATACATAATAATTTTGATATTATTTCTGGAAAAGAAAATGAAAAATGTTCGGAATTATTTTCGAAAATATAATATATTTATCGGGATCAGTGGAAATCAGTGGAAATCGGCACCTAAAAGCTTATCGGGATCACAGGGGTTCTAAACGCAATAAACTCAATCTATTTATCCCACCTAAGTCCCAAGTAATATAATATATATGACATACCTGCATTTGCTCGGGATCACGGCTAACCAAAAACTCATCGGCACCAAGAAGCTCAATCGCCTCCTTCTTCTTCCCAATTGAAGTACTAATCACCGTCACCTTAGTCCCAAAAGCCTTTGCAAACTTCACCGCCACATGGCCAAGCCCGCCAAGCCCAACAACACCTACACTCATACCAGGCTTATCGAGCCCGAAATACTTCAACGGGCTATAAGTCGTTATGCCGGCACACAGAAGTGGGGCACCTATATCTAGTGGGAAATTTTCGGGCCAACGGATAATGAAGTGCTCGTGAGCAACCATTATGTCGGAGTAGCCTCCGTAGGTTATCGAACCGTCGGTATACTGAGCCCCGTACGTGAGTATTTGTTTGGCGCAATAGTTTTCGAGATCGTTAGTGCATTGGTCGCACTCGCGGCATGATCCGACCAAGACTCCTACTCCTACATTGTCACCTGGTTTGACTTTGTTGACCTTGCTGCCTACCTCAGTTACCACCCCCACGATTTCATGCCTGCGTTAAAATAAATCTATGAAACAAGATGGCTTTTCTTTACTATATATAGACATATGTATAGTCATCACATTACGGGAGGAATAAAATCCTATTGAAGGCGATATATTTGTGATAGTAAGTTACGAGGGAGACCGGTCATATCTAAAACGAAACGAGATTGTTTTGTTCTACTAATGATTAAGATAAAACATGGAGTAGTATATTTAATTATAACTAAATCGGTTTCGAGTTGGTAGAACGTAAAGTATGTTAATATGGACAAAACATTTGAGTAATAATAGAGAACATCATTAGTTATTCTCATTATTTAATCTTCCATAGGTGACACATTAAGAAGAAAAAAAATAATATACCTATACCTATGTATACACACACACACACACACACACACACACACACACACACACACACACACACACACACACACACACACACACACATGTTGATGAATTCAAGTGAAGATAAACAAAATTCAGTGTAAAATTTAATAGTTTGGATTCAATACATAAGCTAATGTATTAGGCATATTTATTATATTGATAACTCAGAAAGCTTCACACAGACACACACAGAAACAGGGGAAACAGATCTACAACTATAATATAAGCTTTCACACACACACACACAGGGAGAGAGAGAGAGAGAGAGAGAGAGAGAGAGAGAGAGAGAGAGAGAGAGAGAGAGAGAGATACCCAGGCACAACAGGATAGAGAGTGACACCCCACTCATTCTTCGCCATGTGGAGATCTGAATGACAAACACCACAGTACAATACTTTGAACTGCACATCATACTCTCCGGTAGCCCTGCACCACCATCCCCAAAAATCAAAACAAAAATCAAAATCAAAATCAAAAAAAACCTCGGAAATGGAGAAACAAAAATCGGAAAAAAAACTCAATCGAGATATAAAATCCTGCAATAATAATAATAATAATTAATACCTTCTAGAAAAGTTGAACGGAGAAAGGACGCCGGAAGTATCTCTGGCAGCCCATCCGAATGCCCCAACTGGATGCTCTGTTTCGTGATTTTTCGCCATTTTCGTCAAAAAATAATTAATTAAAAAAAATCTCAAGCAGAAAGTTGCAATGGAGGTTCTGTGAAGGGTTAATCACACTGTGGATATATCATATATTTATACCAAAAAATGTATTATTTATACCAAAAATGTATTGTTTCCATTTTATTCGGGGCCGTGTTTCTGACGTCACAGATGACGTCATCGAATTGAAATCCGCCCAATTTGTTTTCAATTCGAATTTGTGAACCGGTTATTGACAACTGATCGTATAATTTTGCACACGTTAATTGCTTTAGAAAGAATACAATTTGCACAAGTTAACGTTTTGAATAATTTTCCTTTTTCCCGCATACTCTCTGTATTAGTGGGATTTTAGGGTAATTAGTGAGAAAATTTGTGTGGAAGTGTAACTAATTTAGGTTGACAAGCATAGGGGTGCAAGTTGGATTTTCGAACGGAAGTTTCAATTTCTGCCGGTTCCGATTTTGGAACAATTTGTTTTCATTTCGAATTCCGAAATTCATATTTTCGAATTTTTCCGTTTTTTTGGTATTTCCGATCCGATTTAGTTTCAAAAATTAGTTTTGATTTTCTTCCGAAAAATAAACCTATAAATAATATATATTATATTATACTTATTTAAAGTTTTTCTTTTTTGTTTTCTGAAACAATAATTTGATTTAAGTTTTGCTTTAGAATTTCGACATATTGAATTGTTGTTAGAAGTTTTATTGGATATTATGATGTGGTTTAGTTTTGTTTATTTTTTTGAACCAAAATTTAGTAGTTATTAATTTACTTTTATCGGCGCGGATATTCTTAATTTTGGAAAATTATAAAAATTTCAGAAAATTTCCGCTAAGTTTTGAAATATGAAAACTTATTTGATTTTCGAAATTCCGGGCCTTTTGAAATTGGAATGAATTTTTAGATTAATTGAATTTGGAACTGATTTTGTACTTTCGAAAACTTTTGAAATACTTCCGAAAAAACTATTTCCGATCCGATCCATCCGACTCTCACCCGCCTAGACCGGCATGTGGAGATTTGATAAAAACGGCGCCGTATCATTGGTATTCCCACTTGTGAATGAATGGGATTCAGCCACGTCACTGTAAAAAATCCATATCACAACTTTTGTGTTGACTTTTCAACGTAGCGTGTGTAACCGCTGGAGAAGGCATTACCAATGATTTCGGCCGGTCACCACCGACAAGTCGGCAACACACCTGTATTTAGTGTTATTTTATTTTAGCGTAAATTACAACCACCTGCATGAGGTATGGTTAATTTACGAGAAAACTCCTATTATTTGGTTAATTATTATCCCTCAATTATATTTTTTTCTTACATATCCACCCTTATAGTTGTCAAATTCAACATAATCATCTGGATTTCGTGGAATGTGCTCTAGTTTGTACTCGTTTTGTGTAGAAATACAGTTTCTGATACACCACAATCTGATATATACAAGCCAAAAAACACATATTATGATTATCTTGCTTCAAAATGTTAAGTTCAATGGGATAAAACAGGTACAAAGGTGATAATATTCCATATAATCTCGAAGAATCCACTAAATTTGAAACCGCAATAGTGGATGTGTAAGAAGATTTATAGTTGGGGTGATTATAATTACCCAAATAGAAGGGAGTTTTTGTTAATTTGACAATACCTGTCCTCAGGGGTGGTTGTAATTTATCATTTTATTTTATTCCAATTTCAAATGGAAACAATGGTTACTAGACACGACCACGAAATGGGTGAGTCCAAATATATGGAGGTCCCGAAACTGATAAATTCCCCCGTTATTTTCCATTTCTAATAAAATCCCACATACTAGTTTTATTAGCATCAATTCCCTCATTGTCCCCATTATTTCATTTTCACGTGAGTTGCACGTGTGCATTTCAGGCATAAATTTTGCTATAAATGAGCTTTTTAGTTGTCAGGTGCAACAATTTAACAAGTTCAGGTATGCGCGTGCAATTTTTCTCCGTTAAGAGGGTAAAGTGCAAAACCGTCCAAAGTTTAGGGGATTTTTTGCTGGTTACCCTTAGTTTTATTAGCATAAATTCCCTCATTGTATCTTGGACTAGGGGAAAAAATGGACGGAACGGATAAAAATTAACACTTTCGGAAAAATTCCTTTTTTTTTAAGTGAAAAAACACATTTCAATTCCGTTTACTAAAATGGGGAAATCGGAAATCGAAATTTTGAAAATTGTGATGGAAACACTTGTTCCAAAGTTGGAAGTTTTCGGATTGCATAAATAAATAGTTACTTTAACAAGCATAAACGAGTTTAGGTAAATAAATAGTTACCGGCATCCGATCAAAACCCGTCAACACCAAATTTCTCAATCGCCTCGTCCTTCTTATGAATAGACGTACTAATAACCGTCACCCTACAACCAAAAGCCTTAGCAAATTTCACTGCAATGTGTCTAGCCTCGCCAAGCCCAACCACCCCAACGTGAGTCCCGGGCTTGTCAAGCCCGAAATCCCTGAGCGGGCTGTAAGTTGTGATCCCAGCCCCAAGAAGTGGGGCCCCAATATCGAGTGGAAAATTTTCAGCCTAACAGATTACGAAATGCTCGAAAATCTTGATTATTCCAAACACAAACGCACATTTTCGAATTTTTGAGTTTTTTTTATGCGATTTACCCGAAACTTATATGCCACTTTGGAGTACTAGCATCCTATAAACTCCATCTTCTTTTAATATTATTTTTATAAAAAAAATTATTTTTTAAATTGGTTTACGCCCAAAAAAATAGGGCATTTGATAAATACGAGGATGTTAAGATTGAGACGTATCATTGCAAAAGCATAAACTGTTAATGAAATATATCATAATATAAATACCTTCAATAATCATTAACCACAACAATAAAGCCAATCAATATGTAAGCACCAACTATATATTATATCACTTAACCAAAAAAAATTCAAAAAAGGAAAAAAAAAAAAAAAAAAAAAAACCCAACAATTTGTTCTCATTGTCTAAATAAATGGGAAAAAAAAATCAAATTTTAATTATCTCAGCTATATTTTACCTTTATGCCACCAAGAAGAAAAAAAATCACTTTATATATACACATTTCTGTGATGATCAATTGTGAAATTCATGATGAAGCCTAATAGTAATCTTCGTCGGGCGGTCCCTCGAGACGAATATAATCGTACATTACTCCAACGAAAGGAGTTAAACCTCGTGATTGTCTTAAATAAATTATATTTCTTCCGTTTTGAAGCTGAAAACCCGGTAAACTAACACCGTAAAGATAATATCTCCCATGAATTCCATGTCTTGCTACTGCATTGTCTTTTCCTATTCGACCCGTCGAAAAAAGTGGACGCCTTGCTGGCGGATTGTTAACCCTTACCTAAATAAATATATATTATATATCCAATAAAATTTATATCAGCTTCAATATATATATTTTTATTTATTTATCTATAATTGTTTACGACGAATGTGTTAATTAAATAGATAGATTTTCGAGATTATATTTTACGTACCTGTATTTCGGCAAAGTTAGCAGATGCAAGAGCAATCCTGAGAGTGTATGATGCTGTAGTGATGACTTTTCTTACATCAAATTGGATTTGCCATGTGGTACCTGTGTAGTTTTTCTTGTTTATTTTCCTGAAATTTTGTACATAGGTCAATAATCATATTTATTTGAAAAATAAATAAAATTATATATGGGAATTAAAAAAAAATACAGACAAAAAATGTAGTAAATTAGTACCTAGTAACATGGGCAAAGAACCAATCTTTGCGGTAATCGCTTTCTCCAACGGTGTAAATCAGATCTTTGTTAGGATATAAATCCGTGTATCGGTCCCATAATCCGTATTGCCTAAATCTGGATTATAAATCGTCGTATTTCAGTAAACTAAAAATAATATTAAAAATATTTAAAAAAATGAAAAAATGTGACAAAATATTATAAATGTGATTATGGAGCTTACTTTTCATTGTTGATGTATAGTTTGTTCATAAGCCCGGGAGCTGGATCAGGTATGAAGAATTCAGAAGCCGTTCGATCAGGAATTCCGATTTCCCATATAGTTGGACCGTTTCTTGGAGGATCGTATATAATTTCACCTATGTGAATTTCATTTCCTGAAAATTTTCGAATTTTTTTATTTTAATTTTTGTTATTTAATAGATTAATTTTTGTTACTTAAATAAGATGTTGAGAAATTAGGACCTTTTCGAACAATAACTTCGTTTTTGTGTTTGAAGTCGCCAATAATTCCCGGAACCCATGCGTACAAGTTGTAAGTGTCCGGTCGAACGCCTCTTATTGTGAAGTATCCCGTTTCATCGGTTTTTGTCCAAAATTGGTAGCCCTAATTAGAATGATAAAACAAGATATATATTGTTATGATCAAACACAAATTAAGAACATAAATAAAAGTTAATTATTTATTTTTTATATATTTTTTTTTTTTTTGGCAAGAAATAGATATCTAACCTCATAATCATCTTGCCAAGATCCGACATCGCCAGGTCGAGCTAATCCCACATAAGCTGATTTAGCTGGCATTAGGTCTCGTTCGATGTACCTATCACGGACAAGTAAACGACCGCGAATGGTCCCACGCTCATTTGCATGTGGATAATCTTTTGACTTTGGGAAATCATAAGGCCATTTCTCCGTTTCTTCCGACATCTAATTTTGTCAAAAAAAAAAAAAAATTGAGCGTGCATACAATTTTTAGTATTTTTGCTGGGAAAAAAAATTGTGTAAAATGACCTTTCTTTTTGCGTCCTCCCAAAGTGTGGTGTGGTTATTGCCCGAATCCGAGTTTACGTACACGAAAACGGGGCCAAAGACCTTTTTCCAAGGCTGACCGTCGCGTAATCTAATTCCGTAATTTGCACCGGCATAATGGTCACTAAAGAACACCTATATAAACATAATTAGTACACACAATTAGAACTATATCTTAAAACATGTTAAATTCGACAAATCTTTCACCACAACATCCTAGGTTTATTAATTTGAAAAAAAAAAGTGAAAATTGCTTACGGCTAAGGAAGTGGGGCCCGCATGAGATGTAAGATCCGGTTTAACGGGCCCAGCCGCTCGAAACTCGTCACTTGGTGTAATCACCCAGAATCCTACGTGGGGCCGGTTGCTTATCCAACCGTGCACGTGGCTGTCCTTGTTGTCACTCGAGTATTGGTACTTGTCGTCCACCTGGATTTTATATATACATATAATTATTTATTGCAATTTTATTAAATTTAAAAAAATACAATTGGACTAATTAATTAATTAATACCTCTCCTTTGAGTCTAGGGTTACTGGTACTGTTTGATAATAAAACTGCTTCTCTGTAACTAAGCTCGTGGCCTCGTTTTCTGTCGGTAGCCGTTGGCATAATCCTCTGCCTCTTGTCCGAAATAGCCATGTAACGGAACCTAATTCATTCAAATTTCATCAATTAATTAATTAGTTAAATAAAAATAATAATTTAATTCAAAAAAATAATCACTAAACATAAGATTGAATATTAGTTTACATGTCCTTATCGAGCTTGAACGCGATTCTTGCTTCGTCGATATTAAGAGCAGGCCATCCTTCTTCGTGTTCGAATATCGAATACGAGTAGAAACCGGAAACTCCACGCAGAATTATAAACCTGCATTAGAAAAAAAAATAATGAATTAGTAGATTTATAAATTAATTAAGACAACATTTATTCAATAACTAAAGTATATTGTACCTCCTGTCTATGTTGAGAGGAACTAAATTTTCACCATGGGAGACACGCCACGTGGAAGAGAATGAAACCTCTATTTGATCTTCAGTTTGTTCTATAACCCTAAACCTTGTTGCTTGCATACTGCAAAAAAAAAAAAAAAAAAAAAAAAAAAAAAAAAGCTTTGAACAATTTCTCATTCAATATTTTGGATAAAATAAAATAAAAATTAATCTTTTTTTTATATACATAAAAATGTTGTTTCTTGAATTAATTTCAAAATATTCTTACGTGTCGAAACGGCTTTTTTTGTGCTGATCTGGCCTGCTCCACATAATGTCCCAATACCTAAAAAAAATTCACAAATTAGGGAAAAATTAAAAAATAATAAAATAAAAACTAAATAAAAAATAAATAGAGAGTAGTAAAAAAAAAGTTCTACTGCATGCATGCTACACCGAGTGAAATACAATTTTGACCCTTCATCTATACACACATCCATGTGTGCGTGTGTGTTTTTTCACGAAATTTTACATACCCTCTTTGTGTTTCTTTATTGCGACGTTCCAAGATATTTTTGACTCCTTTGTAAGCAAGTCCAGCCATCAAGCCTGTCGGCTTTGTTAACGTAAGTTTTACAATGCCGTTGTCTATGTCAACCTGTAAATTTTTTTGAAAAGGTGGATTAATTTCCGTAAATCATTTTCCTCCGTCTTTTATTTTGTCGTAAAAAACAATGAAAAATTCTTAAAATAAAAGAACAATGATCCCGTGAAATTAAACAATATTAAATGTCGTTCATTTTTTAAGGCTTACATGAGAACGCGAAACATGGAGGTTGAGCGGAGGAGACGAGCCATGATTGATCTGTGGAATCGACCTGTAAATAATCCCGTGTAATTAAATAATAGTTTCACAAAATTCCGATTTGTTCTATTTTTCGTTGCACAAAATGAGAACTCCTTAGTCTAATACGTTTATGTGCGATTGAAATTATTATTAATTTTTTTTAAAGAAATTCAAGTTTCAAATAAGTAACTAATTAGTTTGCATTAATGAGCTTATATGTATTAATAAAACTTGCACCAAATTTGTTCCTTTTTTTTTTTTTTTTCGTATATGTAGAACAGAGCTATAATTATAAATTTATAATGAATACTTATTATCAAGTATTAATATATAATACCAGAATTTATAAGTATTAGAACAGACAATTAAAATTGCTCAAAAATTAGATCTCAAGTTAAAGGGCCTTATAAGTGCACATTTCTTTCAAAAAGAACAAAATCAATTTAAGTTTATTATTAAAAAAAAAAAAATCATATTCCACAAATTCCTTGAAATATTGATAATAATAATCTAAGGACAATTTTTTAGAATATGCTTAGGACATCCAAAATCTCAGACGATGCTCGAGTCCACTGGAATTAATAACCAAACTTAATTACGTCCTTTACGCTATTCCATTAGTTTCAACTTCTTTAATGGCGCGCATTCATTAACATGCCCGATGAGATCGGGATACATCGCT